AATCATGATTATTTTGTGTGTTAAAACAATGGGATTGCGGGGTTACATCTATAATTGCTGATTCTTGTCTGTATATTTGTCGAAGAGTTAAATTGATTTTCGCAGCTTTCCAAGTTATTCTTGTGGAGCCAAGTTGAATTCGCTGTTGATTACTGAAGCTGTTATGATCGCATACATCCTTTCCGTCCGTGATAGTCATCTATTCAATGAAAGTATGTTACTGCAGTTTAAGTCGATACCATTATTTGTGTATCTTTTAGCCAAATTTATTGAGTGTGATATTTCTTTACGTTAAACAAGGCGCCATGTCTCCTCTGGTAAGTTTTACAAGTGGTGTTAGGGTTTGCTGTTACTCGCAGATGTCATTTTTGTAATAACCAAATAATGCATTAAGCTAACAGAATATCGATTAAGAAATATAACGCTATGTTGCTAGCAACCATGGGTTTCGAAAAAGAGAACCAATGTTGTTATAGTATCCAATCTTTGCACCTTTTATTGTGTGTTTGTTTAAGGAGTCTTAATACCGATACGCCAGTATTTATATATCAATATTTTCATGTTATTAGTCGTAAGCACATCTACTATAGTGGGAACGTCACTATCGTGAGTCCGCTGGCATGGTGGGCCTTCACACACTTACTGGGTTATTTTATGAGCAGGGACTGGACCGCAGGTTTGTCTATGCCAATGGCCGCGTGTTCGGTTGCACCTGTGAACCCAAATAATCATGTCCGCATGTTCTGTCCTCTCGCTGCTTCTACGTTCGCTCGATGGCAAACGCTTATAACATCAGCGTTGATAGCGGGCGCTTGCAGTGTTAGTACACCTGTTTCGCGGGCCGGTGATGTCAGCGTGGTAGACTGGGCGCTGCTAGGATTAGTACCTTGTGCTCACGGAGCGGTGATGTCTAGCGTTGATAGAGGGCGCTGCAGTGTTAGTAGCACTGTCTCACAGCGCGCGGTGATGTCAGCGTTGATTAGAGGGAGCTGCAGGTCTAGTACATGTTCGCCCGGAGCCGGTGATGTCAGCGTTGGTAGATTGGCGCTGTAGGATTACGTACCAACTGTTGCTCCACGGAGCCGCGGTGATGTCAGCGTTGCATAGGAGGGCGCTGCAGTGTTTTAGTACACTGTTTCACAGCGCCGGTGATGGTCAGGCGTTGATAGCAGGGGAGCTGCAGGGCTTAGTACATACTGTGCTCACCGGAGCGCCGGTGACGTCAGCGTTTGTATAGTGTTGATGCTTAGGTCCAGACGTTCGCGGTGACGATTGCGGCGGATGAAAGCTTGATTCCTATCAGCCGTGACTCACACCCACTCATACGCTGTGCAAATACAGAACGTGGATGCCGCTATCACCGTACTACACGGCACCCATACGGCTGCGAATACAGAACGTGATGCCCGCTGTGACGCCGTAACTACACCACCCATACCTGCGAAATAGCAGACCGTGATGCCCTATCAGCCGTATACTACACACGCCATACTGCGAAATACAGAACGTGATGCCGCCTATCACTGTAAACTACACCACGCCATAGCCTGAGCGAATACAGAACGTGAATGCCCCTATCACTGTAACTACAACCACCATAACGCTGCGAAATAGCAGATCGATGATGCCGCCATCACCGTAACTACACACCCATACTGACCTGCGAAATACAGAACCGTGATGCCCGCTATCACTGGTAACATACAGGTACCACCCATAACCTGCGAAATACAGAACGTGATGGCGCCCATGGCACCGTACTACACCACCCTATAGCCTTGCGAAATACAGAACGTGATCGCACCTATCACCGTGAGCTCACCACCCATACCTGCGAAATACAGAATATTACGGAGTTGGTTCATTAGAGTTTGCCGCAAGGCGATCTGCGATCGACTCGCTGAGGATGGATAAATATTGATCTCATACGTAGGTTGACAGGGAGGTGAGCACAGGCACTGAACGTTTCATAGATAGATGGATAGCTAGATATATATGTAGATAGATAGATAGATAGATAGATAGATAGATATATATATATCATAGGTACGTAGGTAAGGTAGATAGATAGATCAGAGAGAGCGCGAGCGAAAGAGAGTGAGAGAGAGAGAGAGAGAGAAAGAAGAGAGAGAGAGAGAGAGAGAAGAGAGAGGAGAGAGAGAGAGAGAGAGAGAGAGAGAAGAGAGAGAAGGGGAGAGAGAGAGAAGAGAGAGAGAGAGAGAGGAGAAGAGAGATGAAGAGGAGAGAGAGAGGAGGAGAGAGAGAGAGAGAGAGAGGAGAGAGAGAGACGAAGAGAGAGAGAGAGAGAGATGAGAGAGAAGCAGAGAGAGGAGAGGCAAGAATCAGAGACGAGCAGAGCGGAGAAGAAGCGAGGAAAGAGAGAGAGAGAGAGAGAGACGAGACGAAGAGCAGAGAGGGAGAAGAAGAAGAGTAAGAAATAGGGAAGAAAGGGAGAGCAGAGAATAGAGCAGAGAGACAGAGTAGGCTCGAGTGAGACGAAGTACGCAGATGAGAGCAGAGAGAGAGAGGAGAGGAGCGACGAGCAGACAAAGACGGACGTAGAGACAGGAAAGAGAGAGAGAAGCGAGAGAGAGAGGAGAGAGAGAGAGAGAGAGAGAGAGAGAGAGAGAGAAGGAGAGAGAGAAAAAAGAGAGAGTAGAGAGAGAGAGAGAGAGAAGAGAGAGAGAGAGCAGAGAGAGAGAGAGAGAGAGAGAGAAGAGAGAGAGAGAACGCGTAGAGAGAGAGAGAGAGAGAGAGAGAGAGAGAGGAGAGAGAGGAGAGAGAAGAGAGAGAGAGGAGAGAGAGAGAGACGAGAGAGAGAGAGAGAGAGAGAGAGAGAGAGAGAGAGAGAGAGAGAGAGAGAATATGATGGTCACTCACATATTATGGCATAGCCGTTTGCCTTGGTCATCTGGTTGCGTATATGTTCGGGTGTATCTAGCGGGTACGGGTACACGTACCCCGGGTAGATATCGTTCTCGTCCGGCCAGAAGTCGGCGAATATGCCCACCAGGAGGCAGATGATGCCGCAGCAGGTCAGCACTGCTCCGACAAACGTGAGGATCATCATGCAGTGCTTGCCGACGTCCTCGTCGTCTACCCACCGACCGTCCCGACGGACGCAGCATAGTTCACACAGCGGCATGCTGGCGTCCAGTTGGCGTCACTCGATCTCTCACGCCGTGTTAGAGCGACCGTTACTATAATGTGCACAGCTCCGCTGCAGGCGACGACAATGATGACGCTGAAGATGATAGTGATGACGTAGAAGATGACAATGGTCACGCGCGTCGGTTATTGTGTTCGTTACAACAATGGTTTGTTTACACGATGATCGGGTGTGAAATATTCTGTCATAAACACACAAACGCACGGTTTGGCAGAGCTGAGGGGTTCCGATTTAACATCGAAGGCTGCTACTTAGTATCTCGCTCTATTCCTCGCTCTACCTCTCCTTATCTTGCACGCTATGTCTTTTGCTCACCCAATATTTTACGATCTACCGCTCTAGCTCGCGCGCTCTTTCTCTTTGATTCCCACGGAATTATTCGTCCTTGTGTGAATACACATACATACCAGCCAGTAGAGCCACTCACGCTTATCTTGCTGTTAGCGGGGGAGGGGGGTCCGTTTATGAGTCAGCTTGTCAACACAAGCGTCACCCAGGTTTAACCACTGTGTCACGATACTTATTAGGAGCACTTGTGTGTAACTGGCTTACCCCTCCCCTACTCTCCACTACCATCAATCGGCGTTTCGATGAGTGTAAGTAACAAATGAGGATGAGTAGCAGCGACCGCTATATCACTAGACGATATATATATATATATATATATATATTATATCACGACGATTGCATATCATATTGCATCACGATTGCACCATTGCACGATCATATTGCGTCACGATTGCACTATTGCACGACGATTGCATCACGACGGCATATCATATATCACTAGACGATATATATATATATATATC